TTTCTTTATTATTATTATTATTATTATTATTATTATTATTATTGTTATTGTTATTATTATTATTGTTGTTATTGTTATTGTTATTGTTGTTGTATAACTGTTGTTTATAATTTGTATAGTTAACCTCCCTGTGGTTTGACCCCGGTCTTGCCGGGTTATTTATTACTTCGACACTCCTGCATTTGGGAGAAGACATCAATCTTTTCATCGTGTCAATCATATTCTGGAATCTTACCTATCACTATAAGTTTTTAGGTTGAGATAATTCTTTGATATGGTATTAGAGTATTAATGACCAAGTGGTCATGAGTTTGAATCTCGTCATCCCCCATTTATTTGATAAAAATTAAGCACAAGGTAATGCGGGTTTGTGCAAGTTTGAAGCCTAAAAAGCTTTCACTGGAGGGGTGTATTAGAGAATAATATAAATCATATCTTGGGACATTACCTAAAACCTTAAGCTTTTAAGTTAAAATGATTCTTTGACAGTCCTTATTATCAACTTCAACAAAAGTATTTTCAGTGATGAAAACATTTGAATTTTCTTTTAAGTCGATAACTGAGAAAACTCAATATAGATCAAGTAATTTATCAAGTTGAAAGACATCATTTCCCACAGTAAATTTCTATATATTTACCAAAATTTTCAACTCAACAACAAAATTAACAAAATATAAAATGAACACGTTAAATAAATTTATATTGGAAAATGCTATAAGACAAGTAAACACTAAAAAAAAAAATACAAATACTATAAAATTACATAATAAAAATTAACATTTTAAAATTAAATTCAAATAAAAAAATAAATAGTTTTGGTTACATGCTATCCTTCCATCGTGCTGAACTTTTCCTACAACGTTAAGAGCTTAATCTTGATAAGCTTCGATGCTTATTATATGTAATAAGCCATCTCACCAAAAACAGCAATCAACATATAATGTACGTATTTGATAATTTGGTCGTTTTTCATCATTAGTATGGGCATTGGGAAAAGTCTTTTTGAAATATTATTTTGAATTTTCCTCTAGCTACTTATTGAACGAAAAGAAAGAGTATGTACGTAGTGCAAAACACTTATCGCCAGCATCACACATTATAACGAAAAAATGTATAAGACATTTGTTTTAGGTAATTAAGGCACACATATTATTAATTCTCATCGACACAAACAAGATACATAGAGGGGTGGCTACCTTTATTACATAAATACCCACATGATCATGAAGGCATTGCCCTTTCATGCTGCACCATCTATTGAAAGGTAAGCACATCAGGAGCCAACCTTGCCATCTCAGTGAATATGGTAGCTAGACAAGACGCAGTACATTTTAATGAGCTGATGGGAACATGCATGTACGTATGCACCTTTGAAAGTTTTATTTCTCAACACAAATACTAATAAGGCTATATATTTGAAAGCGCATGCATGCATGTTCTCCTATGCTAGCTAATTTTGCTGAGCATAGTAATTATCAACAGTCTTGCTGATAGATTCCAAAAGGTTGAGGTAATCATCAGGAGCTGCGTTTGTATAAGCGACAGTCCATCTTGCAATGTTGTTATCGGAAACCTCTAATTTGAACCCGATGATGTTGTCCCGGATCGCTCCTGTCAATACTTTGAAGCTGATGGTTTTTGTGGGGTCGTCTACGGCGTCCACTTCATCCTTGACTTTCATGATATTACCTGATGTTTAAACAACAATGGTGCGTGGTGCATAAATATTATTATATAATGTAAGATATATCAATCTTAAGTGAATCCATCCTAGCTAGATTTTCAAATCATCACATATGTGGATCGTAACTACAATATGAATCGGCCTGGATATATAGTTTCTTACAGAAATATTGTTAACCAGTAAAATTGAAGACGTAAGCTAAACTACTATATATGTACAACATATCAGGTCCAAGTAAAATTACAAGTTAAAAATAATGAGTAATTATAATATTTATATAACTGAGATGTGAAAAAGATACTGTGCGGAAATACATGCAAAGGGAATAATGTCACCAAACGAATACTGAAATGCCTATCAATTATAATTCCATTTGCATCCTTTGACTACGTACCAGAGGGAGCGACGCTGTAATGAATCCACTTGCGGTTGCCAGGAGCAGCCTTCCAGGTTTTGGTACCGTCAGCAAGTTGAATGTCGTTCACAATATCACTGCAGATACCACGTAAGAGGCTTGCCTGATCCCGGAAGATTTGGTAAAACTGATCTGGAGTAGCCCCGTTAAGTTTTGTTTCGATGCTCTTGGAATAAGTCGTGTCTTGGATCTTTTGTAGACTGGTTGCTAAGAAACTCGGAAATTAATTAGCTAACTGAGAAGGATGCAATCCGATGAAGAAATGTGGAGGCCGCCTTGGCCTTAAATAGAATTTCAAGAGAGTCATGTGCCTTCTAATGTTGGGACCACGTCCCAAAAGCTGGCTTGCATTCCCATTACATTACATTACATTACCACTTACATTCCATTACAAAAGAAGCTAAAACAGCTCATGCTTTCAGCATGTTTTTACTATTCATTCCCTTTCGTTTAATTTTGACTCAATGGAGTAATGCCTTTTTCTTTTTCTGTCGTTTTAGTTTTCAAACTTAATTTTTCCTCTTCAATTAGATCCTTCAGTGACCAAATTGAAGGCCAATTACTTTTGCTCTGTAAAAAAACACAAAATTAAAAGATAAAAAGCTAAATTGAAAAACATTGAGAAATTAAATCCAAAAACATTGAGAAACTAGATGATATGTTTTTTTTTTTAAGCTATATGTATAATTTTGCAGTGTTTAATTTTTTTGATAACTTTTGGTGTTCGATTCAGTTTACACGTATCTCAACTAATTCCTCAAGACTTTAAAGTTAATGATCATGTAAGTTATTAAATAACGATAATAATATTAGGGTTACCATTTCTTATAAACTTTATATTTGAAATTTTTTCTTGAAAGCAAATTAAAATAGATATCCTAATTATAATTTGTAAATTGCTATTAATAGATGATGATTTCTTTGACCTACAGTTTCTTGTATTTACATTTATAATTGCAAAATGTTAACATATGAAGAATATTCCACAAATAATTTACAAAAAAATAGAAAGTAGAGAGCAAACCATTAGAATGTCATTGCTCTTAAAATCATAAGTTTAAGAAGCTTAAAAACATGAATACAAATTTTAATTTGTACCTTTTATTATTACGATGGCTATGCCCCTTGATGAAATGTTTGACTTATAAATTTTATATCAATAATTTTAGACAACAAACATATAAACAAATACATAGTAATACTGTAAAATAACATTCCCTTAACTCATATTTATGCAATTTGTTTTCTATATTTTGCTTGAGTTGTTTCTTAAATACATTATTTTATTTTACATCTAGCCAAACTCATAATTAGTAAAAACCTCTAAATAGATACATAAGTTTCATTTATTAAATATTTATTCGATCAACAACACATAAAATTAGCTATAAAGTGGAGTAATAAAAGAAATAAAATTAAATAAAAAAATTAAATTAAACTTTCTTGTTAAATAACTCTCTTTTACGATTCCATGAGTGAAAAAAAAAGTTATATTAAAAAAATATTTTAATTTTTCTAACTCTTGCATTCAGTCTCATTTTCTAACAAATCAGTTAAAATTTCAGTTTTAAATATTTTAGTTGTCTTACTTATTCTAGGCTTCTTTTCGTAGATGAACCACAACCTTAATTAGCAAGGTTTCATGTATTTTTCTGGTAACCACAACCTTCACTTTCTAGTATTTACAAGATCATCTTTTCCATAACTCACATGAATGATCCATCATTTTTTCAATGTTTATTTTTTATATTTAATTATATCATATTTTGTGGTGGTAAATGATTAGTACTTAAAAGTGCATTTTTATCATGGTTTTATATCATTATTTTGCACTTGAAGTATCAATAACTCCTTAACTAAAGCATGTTTTATAATAATATATCTAATAATATAAGATACCTATAATTTATGGTAAATGTCTATTTTTAATGCAGGCCTATCACATAAATGAAAAAATTGATTGATGACTT